TCTAACTGAGCGAACGGCATGCGAGTAGCGACAGGATCATATCTGCGTATATGTATATCTAGACCGACCCGACAGAGCTGTATGTTGGTGTTACTCGTGAGCAAGACTGGCAAGCCGATGCATCTGTTGGTCCTCGGCTAGCTGCTGATAAAACACTGCTTGTTTCTCTAGGTACCTGCAGTAATGATGATATAGTGATACTTGACGGATATCAGCAGAGCTCAGTTGACCATTCAAGTGGGGTTTCCCTGTGTTACCTTTGTCTACTCATTAATATGAGATGTTCTTTGTCAGCGAAGCGAACCTATGAAGTGAAAAGCATGTGTTCGCTATCCTCAGCTGATTATATAAATTTCGGTAGAAGTGTAGTACAGTGAGCAATAAAAATGTCATTAAATTGTCACCGAAACGTGTAGTTGACCATGTGCATATTATTCTTCCCCCTAACTAACCTTAATGTTCCTAAAGATGTAGTCGGCCCCAGCCACACCTACACCGAGTGCTGCACCGAATAGAGCTGAATATATAAACGTTCCTGAATATGAGAGTAATGACGACTGAAAGGAAGAGGTATACTACCAGGCTTGAAGTTTGATCCAACGCGAGAACCCATCTTGGCAAAACGCTGACCAGCACTGAGCTGCTGAGCACCCTCTGTAGAGGACATCCCTATGCTGTATCCGAAAACGGGGGGTTCCACTGACTATACGAGTAAGAGAGGAAATCAGCGAATATATTTTTTCTTGAGCAGCACTCAGTTCACCAGACAGATGGACAGTATATGAATAGGCTCCGAAACGGGTGGCAAAGGCCTGAATATATGCACTGAAACAAAGCTTATAGGCTACGATGTGGACGACTTAATTATAGATGTTTGCAGAGTGTGGTATGCTCAACATGGAAATTTACCGTGAATTTCGTGATGCTAATTTCACTAAGACTGGGAGCTGCCCAACGATCGGCAATCGGGTTCATCATGCTCAGCAGTGAACTAAATCGATTACAATGGCGCGCGCGTTCGATTCTTTGCACGCGTCACCACGTTGGGTGTCGTCTCGCTCTCATTCTGAGTTCTGGACAGTGACGCCGATGGTGTTAGACAACTTCGAATTTTGCGCTTAATAATCCTTCAGCTCAATTTTGAACAATTACTGCTGCTGAGTTGGTTACGTACTTTACATCAAATCTGCCGAGACCGAAACTCACTCTCCCGGTTGGCGTATGCGTACAATAGCATCATATCATCGTAGGAATACTTTTCTACCTATTATTAATGGTATCACCCTACCCTGTTAACCCAAGACTGCCACTAGGTAATTTAGGACGCCAGCGCGTTCGGAAGGAGATCTCCAAGGCCCTGCGCGCTAATCCAGAACTGCGTTCTCTGTGCAAGTCAGTGGCACCTGATGTAACTGGAGGATGATGTTCTTCGTGGGGGAGTGTATTGGCGTTTGTGTGTGGGGGGGTGGTCAAATCTTGGGTTGTGTGAGTTGTCTTTGTCGAGTAGTGTTTCCGGGACAACGGCGCGGTTTGAATTCGGGAGGATGACTTCAGCACCCACGAGATTGTTATTGCAATTTGATTGTGGTTGAAATTGTGAACATATGATTCCTTTTCAGATCAAAAAAGCTACCAAATCGCAACTTCTGGAAATGTGTGTTATTACCGGCACCTTGGATCAAGCCATCCAGATCTCCCAGGAGAATGCTGCTTCTCACGCTCTCAATGATTCTCATCGAAGTATTGCTAATACCAACAACAACAATCGAGGAACAAGCTCCGTCATTATGGATGGCAATTTATCCCAAAGTATCGGCTCGGCTGGCTCCAGCACTGCAGTGTCCACGACTTCAATGAACGATAATAGGACCTTTGATACGATGAACTTCCCCTTCTGGCTTGAGGAGCAACGGGGCAGAAGTTTTGTTGAGGCATTGATTGACGATATATCCAAACCGCCAGAGAGTTTCTAACTCAATGTTATCCAGGGACTCGGTATGGAATTGAGTGTTAGGCTTTCATACTCTCCAATGTGATTCAGCTAAAGTGGCTTCGTTGTGAGCTGACAGTAACTCGATTTCTATCGTATTGTAGCTCCTACTACTAGCACTACAACTCGTTGTAAATGGCAGGTTTTGTTGTTGCTATTGTTGTACCTGTCGTCGTCGCTCCATCGGCCTCAGGAGCCCTTGTAGTATTATACACTTGAAAAGTCACGGTTCGGTCCTGGTGGGTGATATTACAATAGTTATTATCCACACCATTTGGATGCAGCATCATGATGGCCCTCATTACTTAATTTCCGCATCCCAGCTACTATTGTTGTATCATCATCTCGTCGCTCTATTCGCTACGCCGCAGAC